CTTAACTTGCCTGTCTACCTGGAGATCCTTTCACACTGAGCGGAAGACAGAACCGGCCACAGGCTTCATCGACGGCGACTTGATTGAGAGTTTCCTGGATATCAGCCGCCCCAAGATGCAGGAGGTTGTGGCAAACCTACAGGTGAGCCGTGTGGTGTTCAGCTCTGGGCCAATTAAATAAGTCATCGCAGGTCGCAGCATGTTAGGAAACTCTGAAAGCTCTGGGTACTTCTCCTGCTCAGTTCTAAGGTGCCATTGGTCCTCTGTGGCCCTTTATGATCCTTACCAGGTGGGAAGGTGTTGTCTGAGGGAAAGGAGATGTATATGGATGAGCTCGTGGGTACCCACCAGGAACTCTACCCATGTTAACCTCTGTCCTTGTCAACATGGGCACATTCGGGATCTTTGGCAAGACCCAAAAGTGGATCCTATAGAGAGGAGGGATTTCCATAATTCTCAAGTTTGGGATATTGCTCACTGGAGATGGTACCTCTGGGGAACATCCTTGAAGAGGGAGAAATGTAGGCCAGGGGGTGGCCTACAAGCCAGCTTTGCCTCAGGAGACCTGTGCCACCAAGGGGGCGGTGTGGGCTTCTGGTGAGTCCTCCTCCCTGCTGTGAAGTGGGGGAGACATGTCCCTCCATCGCTGTGGGCATTTTGTTCCCCAGCTGAGGGAGAGTACCCTCCTGGCCCTCACTGCCCTGCCCCTTTTGTTGCAGTATGACGATGGCAGCGGTATGAAGCGAGAGGCCACTGCAGATGACCTCATCAAGGTTGTGGAGGAGCTAACTCGGATCCATTAGCCAAGGGCAAGGGTACCCTTTTCTGACCCTCCCCAAAGGCTTCGCCCTGCTGCCCTCCCACTCCTCTCCTACCATTGTCTTGGCCATGGGGGGGGCTTTCCCTAAGCCAGCTGCCCCAAAGCCACAGTTCACCTGTGGGGAAATGGGGCTTTCTTAGAACTAAAACCAGTTCACTAGAGACCTGGGAATGGGCTAAAGGTGAACCATTTTCTCCCTGGATTTTTACCAGTCTCACATGACTCCAGCCATCATCTTGGACCACCAAGCCTTGACTGGTGTTGCCAGTTGTCCTCCTTCCAGGGAGGGATCATGCGGCTCTTTGGCTGAAAGGAAGCTATGTGTGCGTGTGTGCACGCACGTGTGTGTATCTCACACTCATGCATTGTCCTCTACTATCTTTTTATTTAGGTTGGGGGTGTGGGGAGGTTGCCTTTAGTAGGGAAGAGGGTTGGGAGGGCTTCGCTGTCTTGAAGTGAAACCTTCCTTTTACTTTTCTTCTGTTGCCTCTGAGAGCATTGGGTTACCAGGCCATGGACTGCCTGAGTATAGAACCCGGAGATGGTGGCTGATCCCCAAGCAACAGCTCTTTGTCTCTCCAAACCGCCTTCTTCAGAGAGAAGGAGGTGGGGGGATGTGAATTGGTTGTTAGTCCCTGAGTTTTACCAAATAAAGTAGAATCTAATAAGAAAAGTACACTTGTTTTGCCTTTTCTTCTACCTGCCCAGCTATTCAGCACGGTATGCTATTCCCATTTTACTGCAAACTGAGGCAGTGTCCTCCTCTGTATGGCAGCTGCTGTAGTCACTTGTCCTTGCTATTAGAACAACTCTGTCACATAGTGAAGTGACATCTGTACGTCTCCTTTGTCATGTGATTGTTTTTGGTGGGATCTCAAGGATAATGGGTGTCAGGTTTTGGAAATTCAGTCTTTCTGTTGCCCTTGACTCAAGAACACTGTTTGATTCTTAGTTGCATCTGCTGGTAACCTGCTGTGCTAGGGGTTGCTTGGGCTGCCTTTCCTGACCTCACTTTGCAACTAGCTCTGTGTGCAGTGTCCAGTCAATTAGTCCCCTGACCACCAGGTGCTTCTCATGTACCTCCCAGCATCCTGTGGCCACATGCCCTTTGGATTCTCATTTTCTCTGGTCTAATCAATTGAGGCTTTGGTGCTCTTAGTTTGAAAATACAGGAGTAGGGCACATTTGGGGTTCACACTTCTGTCCAGCAAACAAAGCCTGTCTTCTTTCAGTTCAGTGGGTCAGAGTGTCTGAGCCCATATTTCTACTAGTGATCCAGTGGGAATAAAGGCTGCTCTGTCCTGGCAGTGGAGTAGGGTTGATCCTAGGCATATTGGCTGGCTCCTTTAAGACTGGCCTTTGATACAGTGTCAGGAAAATTGTGGTTTCAAGTTCAAAGAGTGGTTTTGAGAGATTCTAGCTTGAAAGGAAAAGAGCAAGGAAGCATCCTTGCTTCAGGGCGTCTTCTGGAGTAAGTTTCCTTCCCTGGAGAAATTCTTTGTGTTTTTTTACCCTTCTTTTCCCCTTATCCTCCTGGGATTTCTGAGGGTGGGGATAAGGGTCTTAAGACAAAAAATAATCAACAGCTCAAAAACCACAGTTTGAACTTGAAACTCAACACTGTGATTTGAATTCTGAAAGTCATGGTTTGAATTTGGAAAAGGCCTGCCCCCATGCCAGAGACCAGCTTTAATGAATAAAGTAAGCAATAGTCTCCAGATTGTGATTACTTATAAAATTTAATCCTAGATGGGAGCATTGACTGTAAGGTGCCATGATCAGAAAGGCAAATGGGATTATTATTCTGGTGCACTCTTCGCAGTCTGACCTGCAGCCACTGAGATCTGCTACTTTGAGTAGAAGGTTGTTATCAGTGGCTTTAGTCTTGAATTTGGAAGCTTGTGGAGTCCTTGCAATGTTTTGCTTTTTTTGTTTTCCTATAATCTTGGGTATATTCACTCGGGATTGGATTCTAGCAACCCTTTGGAAAGTGACATCCTGCTGCCATACTTCCACATCCCCTTCTTATAAACCATTAATCACCTTTCTAGGGGTGAAAGGTTGTCTTGGAGCATGGCTTTAGCCAGCTGGAACTGCTCCATTCCATGTAGGCACTGATGAGCTAGCATCACTCCAGGCCTCTGCACGAAGGGACCTTTGGGAGAATAATAGAAACACTGACTCATCACATGACCGCTTGGAAGGGTCACAAGCCCGAGCCCGTCATCCCGCAGTGAACAACTTCGATCCTCCACCCTTAGTGGAGGGTCCCTTTTGTTACTGAGAAGCCACGAGCCACAGAAGTGGGAAAGAAACACTGAGGAACTTCAATGAAGTGATTCCAAACTAGTCCTTGAAGATGAACAACGTTAAGTTAGAGATTCAGTGTCCGAACTGAGAAGACTTGGGGTCGAATAAAGACAAGAAAAAGCAGCAACAAACTAACTAAAGGAGCAAACTTGGTAGAAGGAGCAAGGTGAATGCCATAAGGTCATGAACTTCATGGGGAAGTGGTGAAAGAAATGCCAAGGGGCAGTTGTTTAAGAGATTTCACCAACAGGAATTTACTATGAATGCCTCCTTAGGGTTAGGTGTTTAAGCATAAAGTAGCATTTTCTATTCCTGCTGCTCATTTACCAATATGGAGTAAACCTTGCCAGAGAATGAGTTTTGTAAAACTTACTTACAAATGGGTGAGGTGGAGGGATTGGAGCTCCAAAAAGTAGTATTAATAGTTAAGAGTGGAGGTAGCCGAGGTGTGCTGGAGTGTGGGAGAAAGAAGATAGCATGAGAGATGATCGCCATGTAAAAGTTCACTTTTGTCCCGAATGAACATGTTGAAAATGTGGGAAGCTAGCTCCTAGGGCCAGGAAGAAGGAGCACCTATTTGACACTGAGTAGCGGTCTAGTGGCAGAGGAAGACGAAAGTGCAGCCTTGGGATGTTTGTGGCAGGAAGGAATGCTGGAGGATTCTGGGAGTCCTTAGGACTCAGAATGGACACAAAAGCAGAAGCTGCGTTCATCTTACAATGCAGACTATGTTAGTAACCTGCTTGCTGAGAATTTGTTGATGAAATTAGAAGATGGGTCAAAACTAACAAGGTGAGAGACAGGCCTAAATGTGAATGTCTGCTAAAACTCAGCCACACAGGTTCAGGTAGAGAGACTGACTTGGCAGCGTGTGTTTGATAACAATAAAAACATCCGAGGTTTTCCTTCAATGCAAACTCTGTGTCATGAACTAACCAGAATCATGGTCCTGTTAGGCTGCATTAGTAAAAGTACAGTGTGTGTAGGAAGGAGGGGAGAGTCCAAGACACTGCTGGTACCCCATGTCCATTTGTGGCCACCAACGTGAAGGACCTCAGCAGCAGGCTGAGGTAGTCAGAGGAGGGCAATGGCAAAGGCAGGACCAAAGGAATTGGGATTGTTTAGCTGAGAAGGACGGACTAGTTCTAACAAATGTAGTTAGTCAAAACGATTGGGCTGCTTTTTGACAGGCAATGAGTTTCTTATCCCTGGAAGTGTTTAAGCAAAATCTTGAACTAATTAGGTCTGGGTGGCTAAGGAAAGGTTCCTATGCGGAGCCCAAGGTAAAAGTCCCTCATCTTCCCAGCTTTCTCCCAGCTGGATACTCCTGAGTTCCATCCACCACTGGCTCACCACTGTGCTGCCTGACTCCCTCTGCAGCCCACCCATCTCTGACCCTGGCCTGGGGCAGCGGCAGAAGGGGCAAAGGAAGTGCCTTCCAGTTCTGCTTCTGCCCCTCCACTGCTTCCTCGCCCCCAACCTGTAACCGGGGAGGCCAGGGGAGCTTGTGGCTACGAGACCCGCTGTTGCCCCCTGGCCAGGGAGCGGTGGGACCCACGGATCCACGCACTCGGGTTAGGGTGCAGACCTGCAGGTGGGGGCAGGCCTAGAACTGCCCAGCGACACAGAGACCCAGCGTCCTGGATTCAGATTTCCACAGTTCTCACCTTCTGACAACACAGGCGTCTGGGTTCCACTGAGGCGGGCAATGCCCTGGGAGCACAGCCTCTGGCGCTAGCTTGTTCCCCAAGTCTCTTTCCTCTCAGGGCCTCAGTCTGACGCCCTCAGCCCTTCGCAGGAAGCCGACTCCCAAACCCGGGCAGGGGGTGTGGGCCGAGGGCGAAACCCCGCCCCCAGGGGTCCCTGATCTTTGCCCCCGCCCGGGCTCCGCGCCTCCCGGAGAGGCACTGGCGGGCGGGCGGCGCTACCTTTGTGTGTTTCGCTTCGAGGTGCTGGAGACCACCCCCAGCCGGCTGCCGCGTCCCCTCGCGGTCCCAGCCCCTCCTCTCGGCGTCCCCAGCCCCCCGCTCAGCTCCGCGTGCCAGCTCGGGGATCGCTGGTTCGCTCCCCGCGGCGCCAGGAGGAGGGGCGAGGGCCCGCAGCTCCCTCCCCCGCGCGCGGCGCCGGAGCCGAGCCCAGCCCGGGGGACCCGCCGCCGCCGCCGGTCATGTGGGCCGGACTGCTCCTCCGGGCCGCCTGCGTCGCGCTCCTGCTGCCCGGGGCCCCGGCCCGAAGCTACACCGGGAGGAAGCCGCCCGGGCACTTCGCGGCGGAGAGGTAAGCGCCCCGCGCCCCTTCCCGGCGCCGCCGGGGGGCGGGGGTGCTGTCGGCGTAGAGCTGGCTGGGAGGCGCCCAGGGGCGCCCCGGAGCCGCCGGCAGCCCCGGGTCGGGGTTCACTCAGGGGCGCTGTCCGCGCGGGCGCAGCCCGGGGGGTCCGGACAAAGAGACAGCAACTTGTGCCTCTGGGCGGGTGCCCCTCATGCGCTCCTAACTGGGACTGTCCTGGCTGAGACCTGGGGGATGGAGATCCAGGCACGGGATGAGCCCGAGGGTGCCCTGGAGCGCGGACTCCTGGCGAGGGGAGCTCGGGACGTGCCACCTGGTCTTGGGACTGGCCGGCTTTCGCTCCCAAACGTGCAGCGCCTGGCCTCCCCCGCTGCGCTGGCCGCTCTGGGGCTGGGGGCTTTCCCTGTGTCCTGGTTTTACGCAAGTCGTGGACCTTGGAACCGCCCGGGTCTCTCTAGGTTATGTTTCGGTTTCTGTCCGTGCGTGCGCGCGGGTGGAGGAGTGGGGGTGTGCCCCCTTGCTGTCTTTAAGGATGGATGCCGCCCTCCCCACGTGTTTGTCCCGGGCCGAGGCCCGGCAGCCGCGGGGCCGAGCGCGTGTGTGCGTGATGCTCTGAGCAGAAGGAACACGGTGTCAGCGGGCGGCCTGGCCGGGGGCCACGTCCTCCGGGGGGCGCGCAGCGGGGGCGGCGCAGCCAGTCTCGCTGCTCGCACGTGTGTTCCGCAGCCAGCGCCAGTTCTTGCTCAGATCCTGCCGGCTCCGCGGCCTTTCACAGCCTCCTGCCACCTGTCTCCCGTTGACCACCGGCCCTAGGAGGCTCCTTGGGGCGCTCTGGCGGGTGCTCGGCTCCTGCTCACCTGAGGGTTGGACTGCACCAGCCTTCCGGGCATCCTTCCATCTGCCGCTTTGGTGGCACTACCTGTCCCTCCTAGCCTCCCGAGGTTCAGCTCATTAGGCTGGTCTGAGTTCGGGAGCTGCCGGCTCCTCCCTCCGAGGCTGCTGCCATAATCGGTCCTGCAAGGGGTGGGTGGGGGATGAGACTTCACTGCCAGCTCCCCCAGCCAGGAGTGCCCCCTCTTCTGTGATGACTTCAGAGAGGGAAAAAGGCTCCTTGAGGCCCCAGGAACAGATGTCCGTAGACTTTTCTAAACTGCCATGGTGTCCTGAGCTTCCCTTTCCAGAATACTTGTCCTGTTTGACTTAGGTTATTCTCCCCAGGAACAGGATACATCTGTCTTACCCCACGTCCCCGGTGCCTGGTGCAGTGCTGGGCACAGGGGGGGCTCTGTAAGTGCGGGACGATATTCCCGTCAGCCTCTGAACAGAGGTAGAGCACAGTTGGGTGGGTTTCCCTGTCCCTGTTCTGTTGCACTGGGATTCCCAATTCAAACCAGGCTGGACTTCATCACCCTCTGTCCAGCTCATTACAGGAACTGGCTGTGGTTGTCATCTCTGTCCTCCCTCGGGCCTGTGATTGTGCTGCTCTCCCTCCTGGACCACCCTCCCCTTTCCTCTTCTTTTGCCGGCTGCTCCTGGTCTCCTGTCCTGCCTTAGCGTAGGTGCTGCCCTCCCAGGAACTGCCCCCCAGGGCTCCATAGCCCATCCAGATGAGGAGCTCAGCATGCTGTGTTGTTATCACCTGGTGCCTAGTCTGATGGTAGCTTGTTCGTGGCTATGTGGCCGTGCCCCGCCCAGCGTCCGGCACATGGCTGGATGTGCCCGGCTTTCTGCCCTTTCTGCACTCCAGGTCCCCCGTGTTCCTGGTGGAGCAGACTCTCTTGCCCTCTCCGGGTCTGGGCAGCTCGCTGGTTCTCCCACGCTCACCCCAGAGCTGTCACCTATGCCAGTGCCTGTGGGGGCCCTCTGACCTCCCTTCTCAGCTGTTTTTCCTCAACAGCCATTTATTGAGCACCTACTGTGTGCCAGGCAGTGCTCCAGGTGCTGGGGTGAACAGATAAGAAGCCCTTGTCCTCAGGGAGCTGTAGGGAAGACAGACAATGAACAAATTAATGACCAACGTCCCAGGAAGTGTTAAGGAGGAAAATAAGGCAAGGGAAGGGCAGACAAGGAAGGCCTCTCTGAGAGGGCACCAGGGGCAGAGATGGGGAAAGGGAGAGAGTGAGCCGAGTGTGTGTCTGAGGAAGAACCTTCCTGATAGAGGGAACTGCAAGTGCAAAGGTCCTGAGGCAGCCACCCCCAGGCTCTTCATTCATCCCTGAGCCTTTCCTCAGCTTTCCTCTCCCTGGCCACTCTTTGCTCTGTATCCTTCTAGCAGGTATCTGCTCTCTCCTCCCTCCAAGAGAAACGATCTGGGTCCTTCTTATTTGGAAACTTCCCATTGGCCCTCTAGGGGGTTCTCGAGAACTGTTTGCTGGTTGACTTACAGACTGGCTGGGAAGCTTTCCTGTTAGCCAATCCCTCCCTTGACACAGAACATGGAAAGTGCTCTCTTCTCTCTTGCAGGCGCCGGCTGGGCCCCCACGTCTGCCTCTCTGGGTTCGGGAGTGGCTGCTGCCCTGGCTGGGCACCCTCCATGGGCAGTGGGCACTGCACCCTGCGTAAGTGCTTGTCCCTGTGCCCCAAGTCCTCTATACCAGCAGTGTGCATTGCCAGCATTCAGTCCCTGGTCCGAGGGGCAGATTGGGGGCCCCAGTGCCTAGTCCCTCACCTGCGTTTCTCCTCTCAGCCCTCTGCTCCTTTGGATGTGGGAGTGGCATCTGCATCGCTCCCAATGTCTGCTCCTGCCAGGACGGAGAGCAAGGGGCCACGTGCCCAGGTAACTGGGGATGGGCAGTGGCTGATGGGAAGGGCGCACTTAACACTGAGGTTATGTGCCAGGCACCAGGCTCTTGAGATGCATTCTAGAATATCACCTACAAAGAACCCTATTAGGTAGACATTTTATTCCCATCTTATAGAGGAGAGAACTGAGACGCAGAAGTTATTGTCTTGCCCAGGGTCGCACAGCTAGTAAGTGGCAGAGCTGGATTTAAACTCAGGCCTGAATGAGCCTGGCGAGGTGGGGGTGGCTGGGGCTGCCCTGCCACGCGTTGTTTGCTCACCGGGGCGACACCTGTTGTAGAGGCCCTTGGACCCTGTGGGGAGTACGGCTGTGACCTTACGTGTAACCATGGTGGCTGTCAGGAGGTGGCCCGGGTGTGCCCAGTGGGCTTCTTGATGACAGAGACAGCTGTTGGCATCAGGTGTACAGGTGAGAGGCCGGGGAGCCGTGGGGGAGGGGGATGGGGAGGGCAGGAAGTATGTCTCTTCCCTGTGCTGCCAGGATGGTCCCCAGAGAGCTGCAAGAGCCAGGCTGAGCCAGGACAAGCTCTGACATTTGAGAGTGGGCAGGGAGGCGTGCAAACAAAAGAGATGTGTCACTTCTGGTACTTCCTAAATATTTTTTGAGCACCTCTCTGGGCAGGAATGGAGCTGGGGCCTGGGGTTACTGGAGCCACCGTTGGTCCCTGGTGTTTGTTACGGAGCTTCCGAACATGGGGAAGGGAGGCAAGGAACAGGGACAGCCCAACATAATGGGGACCTTAACTGGGACATGCAAGGTGCCAACGCCTGCAGAGAGGCACGGAGGCTGGAGTTGGGGGTGGGCGGATTGGCAAGGGAAAGCTCCTTGGGAAAGTGAAAGACAGGAAAGCTAAACTCAATAATTATTTTCTAAAAGTATTATTCATGATTAAAATAAGTTCCTACTGGCAAAGTCTGTTACCTTCCCCAGAGGCAGCCACTGTGACTAGTTTCTTGCCAATCTTGCCAGAGCAGCAGAAGCCTTTTTGGAGTTTTAACTTTGTAAAAATAATGTTTCTCCCCATGAAAAGAAAAGTAAGAGATTATTTCATTTTAGAACATTTGGAATAAGAGGAGAAAGGTGAAAATAAACATCCCCTGGAAGTCCCTACCTGGAGACATTTGTCGCTAAAATGAAGTTACTTTTTCTGCCCTTTTTCCTGGGTGTGTACATGTGTATATATCTATGATAGGCACGCATATATATGTTTTATAAAATTGCAGTTGTACCTTATCTGTAGTTTTTATTTATTATTTTTCCCATTTAGCTTTATGTTGTATCACTAAATATTCCTTGCAACATAGTTTTTAACAGCTGTGTACTTGGCTGCTGTAATTGCAATACTAGCCTGCTACCCCTCATTTAGGCGGTCTGCAATGTTTCTCTACTATATATAATGCTGCAATAAAGAGGCTTCTGGCCTGCCGCTCTGGTTATTTCCCAGAAGGAGAACTATTGGGTCAGAGGGTCTCCCTAAAGGAGCCTTGGAGCTTGTTGCTTGTTGCACCATCTCCTCCAGAAAGGAGAACAATTGCGCAATGATCCTACCCCGGAATGCCTTTTGTCTTTCATCATGGGGTTCTTTCTGCACGCACTTCTCATTGTCAGGGCAAACTGGACCAAGGAAACACCAGAGAACAATGTCAAAGCACAGGGTGTAGACAGGGTGGCCCTGGCCATAGCCACGAGGAATCCCAGTGGGATGGGGTTAGTCAGGGTGGGCTTCTTAGAGGTGGTGGGCATGGTCTTGAAGGGCCTGCTGGTGGGAAAAGCAAGTAGATACCGGGGAGGAGGCTGAGTAGAGGGTAAGTGGAGTGGAGGCGTCCAGTGGGCCTGGGGGCAGGCGGTGAGGAGACGTGGATACAGGCTGGATCAGGCTGGCCGATCCTGTAGGGCCTCAGGAGCTGCCCTGGCTCTTTGGTGGGGAAGAGACACCATGCAGCAGGGCTTGGGGAGTTCTAGCTCCCAGCGCCCGTACCCCTGAAGCCAGAGCGTCTCACCAAGCTCACCTGCCTAAGCACTGCCTGGATCCAATGTCTCCTACTCCCCCCCCATTCCTAATGGAGGTGTATGCCCATCCCCCCCCCCCCCCCCCCGCTGAGGCCTCAGGGAACTCCTCTGTGTTCCACAGCCTGGTCTTATCTTAAGCCACCTCTCTGGATGGTAACCCATGCTTCAGCCAGCCTGGTCCTCAGTGCAGTCCCCGCAGAGCCCAGCGGCTGCCCGGAAGCCCCTCAAATCCTTTCTCCACTCAGCCTGCCCCTTTTCCTAATGATCCCAGTCCCCTCAGCCCATCACGCGTCCCAGGCACCTGCTGTGGCCTGTGACCCTGGGTGGGGCATCTGTCACTGGCCTGCACTGGCTCCCCGGGCATGTGTTTTGGCTCCTGTGTTATCAGACCGTAAACATCTGGAGAGTCAGAGCTGTGTCTCTGTCACATTCGTGTCCTCAACGGTCCCTCTGCAGGTCTGCTGCACACAGTTGGTGCTCAGTCAACTTTTAAGGGAACGACACTGTTGACAATTTGATCAGCCTTCCTGTCCACTGCTCTCTGTCCTTTTAGGGGCCTGTGGGGTTGCCCCGCAGATGGGCCGCAAGAAACAGCCCTGTCTCCGCTCTCTGCTCTCATCAGCTGGTCTGCACGAGTCAAACAGGGGCCTGGTCCCTCTTCTTTCTTGGGGTTCCCTCCTAGCCAATGGCTTTCCTGGTGCCTGCTTGTTCTTCCTGGGGTGCAGGTGGGGGTTCCAGGTTGCTGAGGGCAGGCTCAGTGTGGGCACAGGGTCCTCGTGGGGTCAGTTTGTTCCCTGAGGCTGAGCAATGCTCAGAGTGGGGCGTGCGAAGGCGTTTCTCTTCCCAGACATCGATGAATGTTTAAGCTCCTCTTGCGAGGGCCACTGCGTGAACACGGAAGGCGGCTTCGTGTGCGAGTGTGGGCCGGGTATGCAGCTATCTGCCAATCGCCACAGCTGCCAAGGTGAGCCTGCGGGGAAGGCATGGCCGCTTCCAGGAGGGGTGATGGCGATGCTGCATTGAACGCCTGGCCCTGCTGGGCCAAGCACAGTGTGCTGTCCATCCATGCATCACTCTCCCCACCATCTTCTGGGAGAGATGCTATCATCATCTTCATTTGACCGATAGGGAGACTGAGGCTTGCCCGAGGCCATTCTGTTAGTAAGAGGTGGAGGCAGAGTTTGAATCCCGGCACAGCCCGTCTGACAGTCAGTCAGAAGCTGCTGCTGCTATTGCAGCCTGGCAGGAGGGGCGGCGGAGGACAGGCCCCTGGGAGGGGTGGGCCCGCTAACCTGGGGAAGGGGGCCACCGGGAGGAGGGGGCCGGAGGGCTGCGAGCGTGAACAGAGGGGCTGTGGGAGGGGCACGCTGGGCTGGGGTCATTCACTCTCTCATTCATTGGTTCCACCTGCCCTGTGCTGGCCCAGGCTCTAGAGCCACCTGGGGAGTGGGATCCCTGCCCCCATCTGGTGGGGAGGGGAGGGGCAAGGTGGGCACGAGCGATAAATGCTGTGGGAATCTGGGGAAGAGAAGGAACCTTTGCTCCTAGGTGAGCAGGAGGAGAGATCTTTTGTAATAATCACTTGTTCCTTTAACATGATTTTCATTTACACAAGCTATGCGAGGAAACATTCTCACTTAAACGAGGCAAGTCAGATAAAAAGCTCCCCTTTGATGCTGTGCTATTATTTTCCATGTGTTTGAAATTTTCATAAATTATAAAAATTTTAAAAGTCATAGTGCTAGCCCCAGGCCCTTTCTCCCCCTGCCACCCTGTGTTCTCCCTAGAGAATAGCCCTGGTGTCTGCTTGGGCTGCCATAATCAAATTCACAGGCTGAGTGCCCTTCACAACAGACATCTGTCCTCGCAGTTCTAGAGGCTGGGGAGCCAAGATCAAGGTGCCCACCAATTCGGGGTCTGGTGGGGGCTCCCTTCCTGGTTTGCAGGCGTGTCTTGCTGCTGTGTCCTCACTCGGTGGTAGTGAGAGAGAGGTAGAGAGAGAGAGAGAGAGAGCTCTCTGATGTCTCCTCTTATAAGGGCTCTAATCCCATCATGAGGGCCCCATCCTTATGACCGAATCTAACCCTAATTATCTTCCAAAGGCTGCACCTCCAAATACCAGCACATTGGGGGTTAGGGCTTCAACATGCATTTGGGGGGGACACTATTTAGTCCACAGCACCCAGTTACCAGTCCGATGTGTGCTCTGACTGCCTCTCCCCACGATGTGTATGTACATATGAGCTTACGGAGATACGATTGTTGCTGAGCCGTTGTGTCCCGGGCACGGGGCTAAGCACATTACATACATTTTTCTCATTTCGTCGTCAGAATCATCCTATGAAGTTGGTGCTGTTTATCTCCATATTATTGATAAGAGCACTGAGGCTTAAGGAAATTAAATGACTTGACCAGGACCATGTTAGAGCTAAGATTTGAGCCCAGTCATTCCTCTGCTTGTTTTTCCCCCCTCAATCTTGAAGATTTTTCCATATCAGGATACACAGACTTGCCTTGTTCCTTTTCACTGCTGACCCCGCAGTTCATAGTTTGCGAACTCTTCTCTTATTGATGAACATGGATATTATTTCCAATTTTTACAATTTCAAACAGTAGCATGGGGAAGCTTTTACAGAGGTGCTATCAAAGCTGAGTTTTGAGGTATAAGTAGGAGTTTTCCAGCCAGACAAGAGGAAAAGGTATACCAAGCAGATGGGAGAACATGGGGAAAGGGAAAGGCCCGAAAGAGTATGATGTATTTGGAAGATGACAAGAATTTATGGCCGGGCGTGGTGGCTCACGCCTGTAATCCTAGCACTTTGGGAGGCTGAGGCGGGCGGATTGCTCAAGGTCAGGGGTTCGAAACCAGCCTGAGCGAGACCCCGTCTATACCAAAAATAGAAATAAATTAATTGTCCAACTAAAAATATATATACAAAAAATTAGCCAGGCATGGTGGCGCATGCCTGTAGTCCCAGCTACTTGGGAGGCTGAGCAGGAGATCGCTGAGCCCAGGAGTTGAGGTTGCTCGCGAGCCAGGCTGACTGCCACGGCACTCCTCTAGCCTGGGCAACAAAGTGAGACTCTGTCTCAAAAAAAAAAAAAAGAATTTAGGCCAGTATGAAAGTGAGGGGCAGGGAAGTAGGTGGGGAAGGCAACTCAAGGCTGAGTTCAAAGGCCTTGTGAGCTATGGTACAGTGTTGGTGCTTTATCTTCGGATACGGCCTGTGGCCTTTGGGAGCCACAAGTGGCTTTAAACAGGGGGTGGTGGGATTAGAAGGCCCCTTTGTGTGGAGGACGCCTTGTGAGCAACACAGGTAGAGGCAGGGAGACATGCAGGAGGCTTGGCTGTTCTCCAGACTAGAGATGAAAGTGGCCTGGGCTAGGGGTGGCGGTGAAGGTAGGAGAAGCGAGCTGGTCCAGGGCATTTTTAGGAGCTGATAGGCTGCATGTGGGTGGGGTGAAGAAGAGAGATCCTGAGTAGGATAGGAGATCGTTATGAGAGAGGAAGAGGAGGCCACATATTTCCAAAGCTCCGTGGGGAAATGGACCCCGCCCTGGCTCTTTTCCCTTCCAGACACTGATGAATGCCTAGGGACCCCCTGTCAGCAGAGATGTAAAAACAGCATCGGCAGCTACAAGTGCTCCTGTCGAAGCGGCTTCCACCTCCACGGCAACCGGCACTCCTGTGTGGGTAAGGCCTAGAGGACCCTGTGGTCTGCACACTTAGGCTGCTGCTCAGGAACACGGACAGGGCAAGCCCAGGGACCTGGGTTGGTCACCGGCTGGACCTCCTAATCCTCTGGAGCCTGAAGGGGCTGGAGCCTTTGCTCGGAGCCTGCCTGTCTCTGGGGTTGGCATGGCTCCCCACGGAAGATCCCGTCTTGGACTTTTCCTGGCCACGTGCCACTTTCATCCTGTTATGTTTCTCTTCCGCTCCTCCCCAGATACACCCCAAGGATTCCTCTCTGCTCACCCATTTTCTTGGCTGCCTTTGCTCCCCTTGGTAAATAAAGCACGTTATGTCTTGGTTCCTCTGGTTTAGAAGGAGACCCCTGTTTTTTTCAGCCCAATTAGCAGAAATTTCCAGAAAGGGATTGGCATGTTTGGCTTGAGCTTGGCCCATGGGTTGAAGGTGGGGTCCCATGGGCCTGAAAAAAGACCTTGTTCTAGTGGAGTTAGGTATTCGTCCTGAAGCCTACCTTGAGCAGCTCAGGGAGTTTTGAGACTTTTTCAGAAAAAAAACGGGAGGGTGGAAGGCTTGGTGACGAGATTCCCAGGCAGCGCTTAATCATGGCTCATAGTGCCGGGATGAGTCACTGGTGTGCCCATGGAATCCCACTGTACGTATGCACCTTCCAGGAGATGAGCGAGGATTTCAGCCCTGCTTCCAGCCTTCTGAGCCACACCCCGCACCCTGGGGCAGGGATGGACCCCACAAGAACCTGGCAGGGGGACTCCCCCAGTCTTTGGGGCTAAGGGATGGGAGGAAGCAGGGCTCGGTAGCCTGGACAAGGCAGCAGTCTGCAGCGACGCTCTCCTGCAGATGTAAACGAGTGTCGGCGGCCAGTGGAGAGGAGAGTCTGTCACCATTCCTGCCATAACACCGTGGGCAGCTTCCTGTGCACGTGTAGACCTGGCTTCAGGCTCCGAGCTGACCGCGTGTCCTGTGAGGGTGAGCGCAGGCCTCGCCCTCCCGGAGGTTGGCCCCGCCCCCAGCACAGGCCCCGCCCTCTTGGAGCCCCGCCCCCAGCAAGGCCCCGCCCTCTTGGAGCCCCCGCCCCCAGCACCGGGCCCCGCCCTCCTGGGGCCCCTTTTCCTGTCCCACCTTGTTTTCAGTTCATCTTCAGTTTTTTCTTAAGAGAAAGTCTTGCTCTGTCTCCCTTTCTAGAGTACCATGGCGTCAGCCTAGCTCACAGCAACCTCAAGCTCCTGGGCTCAGGCGATCCTCCTGCCCCAGCCTCCCGCAGTGCTAGGATTACCAGCCTGAGCCACCGCGCCAGGCCCATCTTATTTATTTTCAACATCCTACTGTCTTCCTCGCTTTCTCTTTCTACTTCTGTGTCCTCTCTCCTTCCCTTTTTTCTCCACTGTTTCCCCAGCCCTTCTGTTTTCCCCCAAATGGTAAAAGGAAAGAAACCGGCAGCGATAGAGGAACCCGTGACAGAGGAGTCCGAGTGGCAGGGCCCCCAAGGACCACCCTTCCGACAGCGCGGCGTCAGACTGCTCTGCGCCTTCCAGCGCCCCAAACACGTGCATAATGTCGTGCACGTAATGGGTGGGCCTTGCCAGGTCCTCCACTTTTCACTTGTCAGGGTGCCGAGGGGTCTTTCCTTGTCAGCGCCGAGAAAGCCACCTCGTTCCTTCCAGTGCACGCGAGTTTCACATCCTATAAGTCTCCAGTGATGACCACTGAGCTTGCCTGTCCGTTTCCTCTCCTGGCCTGGCGCCACTGTCTCCCCTGCCTCACCAGGATCTTGAATTTCTCACCTGCCGCCTTCTTTTTCCTCTTAGTTTTTCTGATTCTGTCTCTCGGTCTTTCAGACCTCTGGGCGGTGGGTGTCCATCTGCAGGGAAAATGCCCTTTCCTGTCCTGAGAGTGGGTTAGGGGCAGGGCCTGGCAGCAGCGGCCCCAGCTGCTCCTCCGTCCCAAGCCACAGCGGCCCCTCCAGGAAAGCCACAGCTGGGTGGGTGCAGGGGACACACTGACCCGTCAGGACATAGGAGTGGGGGCAGGCTGCCCAGGATGGGTCCCTGGGGGGCGAGAGGTCCGCCTGGAACACTTGCAGTTCCCTGGTGGCCGGTGAGGAAGGGGAGGCGGGGGAATCCGACCACACAGCATCTGCAGCAGCCAGACCTCCGGCGTCACCAAGGGTAACTGGCTCCTGCTCGTGGGTGCTTTTCCATCCATATTCTCCTGGGCCTGTCACCCCAGCAGTCAGACCCATTATACTGAAGAAGAAGTTGGCCAAGTCCAGGTCCCCCTGGAACCTTCCTCCTGCCCCTGCTGCCCCCCTGAAGAGATCCCGTGCTTCCGTTTCTTTCAGCATTCCCAAAAGCCGTGCTGGCCCCGTCCGCCATCCTGCAGCCCCGGCAGCACCCCCCCAAGATGCTCCTGCTGCTTCCAGAGGCGGGCCGGCCTGCCCTGTCCCCTGGACACAGCCCTCCTTCTGGGGCTCCGGGGCCCCCAGCTGGAGTCAGGACCACCCACCTGCCACCCCCCACCCTCCCACTGCCCACATCCTCCACTTCCGCCCCGACAAGGCTGCTCTCCACTCCAGTGGCCCCCCCAGTGCCTACTGCTGCCCTGCTGGGGACCCTCAGGCCTCCCTCACTCCTCCAGGGGGAGGTGGTGGGGACCCCTCCCTCACCCAGGGGCCCCGAGGCCCCACGACTGGCAACATGGCCCGCTCCCTGCCGGCACCTGGGAGCCATATATGAATCCGGGAGCCACTGGACAGAGCCTGGGTGTTCCCAGTGCCGGTGCGAGGTGGGTGCCAGGAGCCCTTGAGGTTGCCCTGGTCTGGCGTCGGGGGCCTTGTCGTGGCTGTGACTCCTGCTTTTGCTTCCAGGATGGGGAGGTGACCTGTGAAAAGGTGAGGTGTGAAGCTGCTTGTTCCCACCCGATTCCCTCCAAAGACGGAGGGTGCTGCCCCTCCTGCACAGGTGAGAGCAGGTGCCAGGGAAGGACGCCGTCCTGCCTCTTCCCTTCCCCCACCCTCCTGCAGCCGAAGGCTGTGCTCCACCTTTAGTGTGCATTGGACTCACTGGGAGGGCTTGTGAAACCACAGATGCCAGCCCTGCCCCAGAGCTCCTGATTCAGCAGATCTGCGATGGGGCCTGGGATGGGGCCCGAGAATGCGTTTCTGACAAGTTCCCAGGGGATGCTGACGCAGCTGGTCTAGGGGCCACGCTTTGAGAACCACTTTCTATGCTGTAGTATCCCTCAAGGCGAGCTCGTCATCTTCTGGGCATCCTTTTTGAGGCTCATTCATTTGTTCTTTCATTCGTTCATTCAGTCAATGAGCCTCTCCAGATCGACTCTGCAGGCCCCTTCCCCTGTCCCAATTCCCCTCCTGCAGCTAGAGGAGTCCTCATTTCTAAATTCTGTCCCAACCCCCCATTCCGACTCCCTCCCATCTGCTTGCAGCTTTTCATTTTCTTGTCATGGCAGTGAGGATAGAGACCCAACTTCTTAGCAGGTCCCTCACAGACCTCCTGGAAACTTGCCATGCACAAGACTCGCTGGACTCCTGTTGAAATGCAGATTCCCGTCCAGTAGGTCTGGGGGGAGGCCTGAGAATCTTCATTCCTCTGATGCTCTCAGTGATAGGATGCCCAGGTTGCTGGACAGTTAGCAGCGGTTAAAACATCTTCCTAAAGATTAAAATGGATGGGCTTGAGTATGTGTGGAGGAAGAAAAAAAAAAGGATTAAGATGGAAATGCACTTAGTGATTTTCTTAATGATAATTGTGATCTTTTTACTATATCCCTACTATGCACTGAGCCCTGAAAGTAAAGTACTGGATACTTTATAGCTGAGGTTTCAGATCCTTCAGGTCCCTTGCAGGGTACATGGTGGTATTCCCATTTTGCAGGGAAGACAACTGCGTCCCAGAGATGTCAATGGCATGTCCAAGGCCACTCAGGTGAACTGAGCGGGCAGACCAGGTTTTGAACCCAGGCCGCTTTTCCTGCCTTCTGGGAATAAAATGCTGTGCTCTGTTGACTTTGGGCTTACCAGACATGCATGGACCCTCCTGAGGCCATCAGGGGCTGATGCTTGCGGATGTCTCCTGGGTAGTTCCCCAGGGGTCTTAGGACCACACACTCAGGGTGCCTGAGTCTGCCGCCCCTGGGGCACCCAGGGCAGTCAGGGAAGGTTCCAGTTACATCATGCCTGGAAAAGTAGTGAGACCTCAAGTTTCCTCTTCTTTGAAGAGGTCTGATGCCACCACCTCCTGTTTGTCTTTCAAAGGCTGTTTTCACAGTGGCGTCGTCCGAGCTGAAGGGGACGTGTTTTCACCTCCCAACGAGAACTGCACCGTCTGTGTCTGCCTGGTAAGTATCACAGGATGCTCAAAGCCTCGTGGCTGTTTTCTTAACCTTTGGGGTTTCAGAGGAAGGGGGAAGACTGGACGTTGAAGGTGAGCTTGCTGAGTGGGAGGCAGAGTTCTCAGGTTGTGGATTTTGGTTAGAACCTGTAGCATTTAAAAGGCTGGGGGAAGTGTAAAACCTGAAGGTCATGGAGTCAGGGAGGCTTCTGCTGGGCAGAGAAGAGCCAACAGGCAAACAGGGTCTGTCTGTTGAGGACGGGGGAACCAAGCGCGCTGGAAACTTCCCACTGGGGAGGCTGTTTTTCTCTCCAGGCAAAATATTTGCCGACACAATAAAGATCTCCACGTCTGGGAGGTAGGAGGCTCCTTAGCGAAAGCACCTTGTTAAGGGTATTTTGCTTTAGGCAAATTTAGTCCTCCAAAAATAGTTTTTAAGCACCTACTGTGTGCAGACACCACTGGATGCTGTCACATGTATTTGATTTTGAGCACCCACTGCGCGCCGGGCCCAGGGTTGGTGCTTTTTATCCCTGTCCTCACCTAGGCTCCTGGCAGCTCTTCAGGGTCCGCTTTGTCGTCCCTATTCTATAGATGAAAAGGTTGAGGCTGGGAGGTGGCAGAGCTGGGATTTGATCCGAGGTCTGTATGAGCCCAAAGTCCAGGCTCTGTCCACCAACCCACGCTGCTGCCCTCTGACAATCTCTCAAAGTGGCTCACACTTGTAATTCCAGCACTTTGGGAGACTGAGGCGGGAGGATCGCTTGAGGCCAGGAATTCAAGACCAACCTGGGCAACATAGCAAGACTCCACCTCTATAAAACATAGAAAAGAAAAATTAGCTGGGTATGGCGGTGCGCACCTGTAGTCCCAGCTACTCAGGAGGCTGAGGCGGGAGGATCACTTGAGCCCTGGAGTTTGAGGATGTAGTGAGCTATGATGATGCCACTGCACTCCAGCCTGGGTGACAGAGTGAGACCTTGTCTCTAAAAACAAGTGGCTCTGGCTGGGCGCGGTGGCTCACGCCTGTAATCCTAGCACTCTGGGAGGCCGAGTTGGGCGGATCGCTCGAGGTCAGGAGTTTGAAACCAGCCTGAGCAAGAGCGAGACCTCTGTCTCTACTACAAATAGAAGAAATTAATTGGCCAACTAATTATATAATAGAAAAATAGCTGGGCATGGTGGCGCATACCTGTAGTCTTAGCTACTCGAGAGACTGAGGCAGGAGGATCGCTTGAGCCCAGGAGTTTGAGGTTGCTGTGAGCTAGGCTGATGCCACAGCACTCACTCTAGCCTGGGCAACAAAGTGAGACTCTGTCTCAAAGAAAACCCCAAAAAACAAGTGTTTCCTGCTCTGGCGTGGAGGGCGGAAGCTGCAGCATGATATCAGCTACTGCATGACTGATTTCTGGAGCTACTCCTGTGTGTCAGGCCGGTGCACAGCGGCCCAGGGCTTTCGTGCGTGATCTCGTTGCACGTAATCGCTGGCAAGCCCAGAGCGAGGCGCCGATTCCAGTCCATCTCCAGGGAGACCGAGGCTCAGAGATGTGATGCGCTTTGCCCAAAGTCTCGTTAGCGGAGGAACAGACACTGGGACTCAGGTCTGGCTGACTCCAAAGTGGGGGCTTTTGGGTCTTAAAGCCCAATTTTTCAAATTTGTTTTGAAAGTTAATTCTTTGAATAGCCAGTATGAGCCACGTGGTTGAAAAGTGAGACGCACAGGGGGGTGCAGGAGTGACCGTTCTCCACCCGTCAGCACCCTGCGGAGCGTCCGGCACCTGTGCGTAAGGAGGGGTGCGTGCCCTGCCCCTGGCCTGGCCTGGTCTTTTCTACGAAGCAATGTGTCTTGGCAAAGGGGATGTTCTAAACCACACCGGAATAAACACGGGAACCTGGTCCCTGTGACCTCGGCAGCGTTGAAGGTCTCGGCTGGCTTCCTCCAGGCAGCTTTGGTGTGGGAAGGGCGTGGTGTAAAATGGGGAGCGAGCCCTGTTCCACCCCCTGCAGCCTCGGCGCCATCTCTCGCCTCCTCCTCAGGCTGGAAACGTGTCCTGCATTTCCCCCGAGTGTCCCCCCGGCCCCTGCCAGACCCCTCCGCAGTCTGATTGCTGTACTTGTGTCCCAGGTAAGTGACTCTCTTGGGGCATTTTGCTTGTTTTGTGTATGTAAGGGAGGAGGGATGTCTTGGAGTATGTGTTGGGGCAGGGAGAATGGAGGAGGGAGAAAGGAGAGTGGTGTCTGCTTTAGAAACTCAGACCAGGCAAAGCATTTCAAATTGTCTGTATCGAGCAACTACGATGTGCACACCTACTGTGTGCACGCCTACTGTGTGCACGCCTAATGTGTGCATGCCTACTGTGTGCACACCTAATGTGTGCACGCCTAATGTGTGCGTGCCTACTGTGTGCACACCTAATGTGTGCATGCCTAATGTGTGCATGCCTACTGTGTGCATGCCTACTGTGTGCACGCCTAATGTATGCTAGACCGTGCTCATAGCCTGGCCTGCCCCCTGCCCCAGGAGGTACCTTCAGAGTCTATCCTTGGCATTGCTGTCTCTAGATGGGGAGGGGTCTCCCCTTAGTTGTTCCTTTGTTTTTTAGCACAGTTTGTCGTGGCCCGATTACAGAATGGGGGATGACATACACAGAACATATACATAAGATCCAGACAGACAGGATTGGCTGTAGTCCCACAAGAAAAAAGGATACAGAGACAAGAGATGGTTTTAGACTGCAGCACTGGAAAAGTGCTTGTCAATTTATTATATACAGTTTAATATACAGCTGTATAATATACAGCTTGGGCAAGCCCCCCACAGCTATTTTCTCATGCCAGCTACTTTCCCAGCTACTTTTTGGTACATGACTTCCCACGACCAACAATACCTGCTTTTCCAGTCAAAGCAAACAGCATGGCCTTCTACAAGCGATCTCTTTGATGTTTTATACTGCTTTTGGATAACAAACAATCTCGGCTCGAGTGCGAGACCTTGAGTCCTAGACCTAGATCCTAGTCCTAGATCCTAGTCTTGCAAGTGCCTAGCACTGCATGCTAGTTACCAGGCAACCTCGGCTTGCACGCAAGGCCATAGGTTCTTGGCCGTTTGCCTGGAGAGGCAGTTTCTTCAGCTGGTCAACAAGCCACGTCCTGCTAATTGTGGGAACAAGCAATGGGCTCCCGTTCTGCTGACTTGGGGTCTCAGCCAATCTGACCCTGGGACGGCTCGCTTCAGCTTCCTTCATGGTTCTCTTGCCTGGGATGGCCTTGTCACAGATATTCCCGGCCAGCTCTGTGCCCCTTGCTGTGTGGGGAACTTGCCAGCACTTGAGCTCACTGAATCCTTGTGTCGACACTGTAGGAGTACTATTCATGGCCCATTTTACAGATGAGAAAACTGAGGCTCTGAGAGATCAAGTCACTGCCCGAAGACACACAACCAGTTAGCCATGGAGCAGAACTTGAACTTAAGTCTACCCAAGTCCAACATTGGTGTTCTTTTAAAATATTTTTTCTTTACTTTGAAGTGTTATATTTTTTAAAAATGACGTTATTTTTGCATCGTCATTATAGGCCCTATGAGTAGGAACTGTCATCAGCAGTACAGATGAGGAAACCGAGGCTTCGGGAGCTTTCCGTATCTTGCCAAAGTCACTCGCTAGTGAGTTGTGTAGTGAGGATTTGAACCCAGGTGGTCCAGCTAAAGGCAGGTGGGCCTGCGCAGTATTTGAGGCTATTTTTTTTTTTTTTTTGAGGCAGAGTCTCACTTTGTTGCCCAGGCTAGAGTGAGTGCCGTGGCGTCAGCCTAGCTCACAGCAACCTCAATCTCCTGGGCTCAAGCAATCCTCCGGCCTCAGCCTCCTGAGTAGCTGGGACTACAGGCATGCGCCACCATGCCCAGCTGATTTTTTCTATATATATTAGTTGGCCAATTAATTTCTATTTATAGTAGAGACAGGGTCTCGCTCTTGCTCAGGCTGGTTTCAAACTCCTGACCTTGAGCAATCCGCCCTCCTCGGCCTCCCAGAGTGCTAGGATTACAGGAGTGAGCCACCACACCCAGCCTGTTTTTCATCGGGGATCTTCAGATCAGAGGCTCTCACTAAATCCTCATAACCCCCAAGGGTGGCACCATTCCCAGATCTTTGTCTTTGGTGTAGGGGGCTGTCACTTCTTATTTCTTTTTTCCTCTACTCTAGCTGTTTGGGGCTTCCCCTGCCTTTTGGCTGAGGACCTCACCTTGCATGTGACTTGTTCTCTGCCGGTTTTGCGTAGTGACTTGTTTGGTGTCGGGGTTTGGAGGTGGAGAAGTGCTCTGGGTTCCCGGCCCAGAGTGTGCTGTGGAGCGTAGTGGGTGGGTGTCAGCCGCCCTAGGGCCCCCCACCCACTCGCTCCCCTGGTTCTTTGGCTGCCCCCACCCAAAGACCTTGAGCTGCCTCTCCCTTTCTCATCTGCAGTGAGATGCTATTTCCACGGCCGGTGGTACGCGGACGGGGCTGTGTTCAGTGGGGGTGGTGACGAGTGTACCACCTGTATCTGCCAGGTAAGGAGGCAGAGAGTCCTAGCGGGTGACGGGGACAGGGGACAGGATGTAGGACTTTACCCAGGATGGCTTGACCAGGACAGAATGAGCTGCTATGCAGCAGAAGGGAAACTGAGGTAGCAAACCTACTATAGGGATTCCCCAGGCCCTCCCAAGTCTCCTTGAAGTTCATTCTTAAGCACTGCTGTTTATAGAGCTGGGGAACATGGCCAAACACAAGAGGTCCCCCATACCCTCAGTCCAGAAGCCCACGGCCGAAGCAGGCCATGGCCAGGTGACCAGGAATCCTGAGGCCTCATGGAGGGCGAGATGCCAGGGGGCGACCCGAGGCGGCAGGGAGTGGGTGCTGTGCCTGGCAGAGGGCCCCGTGTGGGAGACGGTGGAGGACTGAGAGCAGCCATCCTGGCTGGAGGTGGGGCCGTGAGCAGGGGTCCTGCCTCGGTTGGGTCCCTAGGAGTGGGGCTGTGTGGACGATTTACTGAGGGAGTGCTCTCGGGACAGATGGGGGGCAGCAGGCCCAGGCAGGGCAGTGCAGGGTGCTCTTGGGTTGAGCCCTGGGGAGCTCTGGAGGGGGACTGTGCCTGGGAGCCTGGCCCTGTGCCCCAGCGTGAGCCGGTTATACAGACCCTCTTTGCGGCCCGGGCAGTATGGGGAAGTGACCATGCAGGACCTGGCACATTTGCAGGGCATTCCCCCAGCCTCACACCCCAGTTCTCGATGAAGGACTGGCCTGTCCCCCCAACCCCCACTCCCTGGAGACTTCTTTGTCACTACTACTTGAGGGGACAGGGAGGGTGAGCCAGCATCCTCTTTAGCCCTCTGTGGCCTAGGGTGGGGGCTGCCCTCACTGGCCTGTGGCCCTTGGCTCTCTTCCAGAATGGGGAGGTGGAATGTTCCTTCATGCCCTGTCCAGAGCTGGACTGTCCCCGAGAGGAGTGGTGGCTGGGCCCTGGACAGTGCTGCTTCACCTGCCGGGAGCCCACGCCCATGACAGGTGAGGCCGTCTCCGGGCTTGGGTGCCCCGGGGAGGGAGGCTGAACCTCACCTGCTGAGACTGTTAGCGTGTGTGTTAGTGGTATCTGTGTGCGAGTGTGTGTGCATGTGCCTGTGTATGAGTGTGTCTGTGTTTTGTGTGGTATGTCTGCATGTATGTGTTTGTGTGAGTGGTGTCTGTGTGTGTGTGTTGTATCTGTGTGAATATGCATGTACATGTGCATGTAAGTGCATGGACGAGTGTGTCTGTGTGTGTGAATATGCCTGCGTGAGTGTGCATGTTTGTGTGTCTGCTGTGTCTATGTGAATGTGTGTGTGTAAGTATACATTTGTATGAGCATGTCTGTGTGAGTGTGTGTAGTTTGTGTGTGTGTGTCTGTGTCCGGTGTCTATCCTGGGGGTGGTGCTGTAGGTCTGGCGGGCACTGGAGCCCGCTGTCTTTCCTCCCCCCCGTCCGCTGCCAGGCTGCTCTCTCGACGACAACGGGGTTGAGTTTCCGATTGGACAGATCTGGTCGCCCGGTGACCCCTGTGAGTTATGCATCTGCCAGGTGAATGACAACCTGCTCGCCTTCAGCTGCTTTACCCGCTGCCCGCCCGCTGCCGGAGGAGACCCAGCTTCTCCCCTCCAGAGGCTGGGCCCCCGCAGGCTGCCTCGGTCTCCCTCCCGTGCTGTCAAGCTCCACTCTTGCAGAAAGGGCCCGGGCCCACTTTCCCTGCTCTTGGTAGAGGTTCCAGGACAACAGAGCTCAGCAACCCGCCTTGTGACCCATGCGTGACACTCTGTGTGTGTGCAGGCAGCTGCTAGCAGCAGGAGTTGGCACTAGGTGTCCTCACGGAAGGCTTTTCTGGGCCCGGATGGCCGGGGGAGCTGGGCTGCCCGGGACCCAGGAGCTAGGGCCGTTTCTAGGAAATTGCAATGCTTTCTTCGTGAAGGTGAATCATTGCCCAGCCAATGTTCAGACTCTTTAAAAAAAAGAAAAAAAAAAGGCCAGGAGCGGTGGCTCACACCTTTAATCCTAGCACCCTGGGAGGCCGAGGCGGGAGAATCGCTTGAGGTCAGGAGCTTGAAACCAGCCTGAACAAGAGCGAGACCCTGTCTCTACTAAAAATAGAAAAATTAGCCAGGTGTGGTGGTGAGTGCCTGTAATTCCAACTACAGGGAGGCTGAGGCAGGAGGATTGCTTGTGTGCAGGAGTTTGAGGTTGCTGTGAACTAGGCTGACGCTGCTACACTGCAGAGTGAGATTCTGTCTCAAAAAAGAAAAAAAAGGAAACTTTGTATGGCACTTGGTCTTCTGAAACAGACATTTTTGGTGCAATAGTTTTCTATATAAATAGGATTTTATTGTACTCCTTAAGTTCAGGGTGAGCCAGGGTTTCAGGGAAAAGCTGAGGCAGGAATTTGGATGGGCTAAGGTGCTGCCTTTGGCCGCCACTGGAGGGGGACAGGAAGCCTAGGGGACCACAAGCTCTGCCTTTCCTTCTCCTTAAATATGTGAAACCTTTCTGGAAGGCTCACATCACATTTCCCAAGTAGCTGATCCTCTTTAGGGGGGACTTGCCACCTCCCAGCCGCATCATGGCACCCTTAGGGCACGCCTTGGCCAGTTTGCAACGTTGCCCTTTCTTGGGGGGTGGGGAGGCAGGGCAACATTGCCCTTTCTTGGGGGGTGGCGTCACAGGTGGGGTCTTGGTGAAGGTCCTCCTTCCTTCAGGCAGATGGCTCTGTGAGCTGCAAGAGGACAGACTGTGTGGACTCCTGCCCTCACCCGATCCGGATCCCTGGACAGTGCTGCCCAGACTGTTCGGCAGGTAATCCCCTGCCCGGCACCCCCCGCCCCAGGGGAGGGCGTCCCCGGGGTTCCCCCATCCAGTTCACCTGCACCAGGCTCCTCTCTGCCAAGCACCACATGGGCTTCATCTCGTGTCAGCCTCTCCGCAACCCTGAGGGGCAGCTCCCATTTACAGATGGGGAAACTGAGGCTCAGAGAGGCAAAGCTGCTTGCCCGAGGCAGGTCCTATCTGGGTACTGGAGGCAGATGTGAAGGCACAGAGTTTAGGGCCCAGGTGGGTCATGTAGGAACTGTACCTGTGACACAGTTAGAGAACAGCGAAGAGAGATAAACACGATACTTTATTTTTTCATGGCAATTTTTACCTTTTCCATGATTTCAAAAATAACATTTTGTTGCAAAAAATACAGACAGCTTAAATGAAAACCAATTAAAAGGGCTCCTGACCACTGTTAATCTTGTGGTCATGCCCTTCTCGTCTCCTCGCAGTGCACACGCACGCACACATGTGTAATATTTACTGACGTGTATTATGAGTGTTTTTTCTTATACAATCTTTCCGCACTGTGTCGCCACCCGCTTTTGCACTGACCAGCAAGTGATGAGATCGTCAAGGTGGCGTCATTTAGGCCGGGCCTGGGGGCGGCAGGACCCAGAGAGGGAGCATGTGGGGCTTGAGGTGTGGCTGTGGGGGAGGGGCAGAGAGGACGCTAGGGGGGGCAGCTGTGAGGCCCCGACACCCCCTGTGCCTCCCGGTCCCACCGGGGGAGGGGGCAGAGGAGGAATCTGGGGTGAGGACACCAGAGGCTGGGACACTGAGACACCTTTGCTGAATCCAGCGGGGCAAGAGTCAGCGCCCAGCTCAGATGCCCAGTTCAGACAAGTGTTTTGTCCCCTCCCTCACCCCCGGGTGACTGCCTCGGAGGCGGAGGCACATGGCCTGACCTTTGCCTTCCAGTTAAGCCTCCGACCTTTGCCCTAGTGGGGAGCCGGGTCGCTGGCCCCTGGCCGGCGCTGCTCACCACGTGCTCTCTGGCAGGCTGCACCTACACAGGCAGGATCTTCTACAACAACGAGACCTTCCCGTCCGTGCTGGACCCGTGTCTGAGCTGCATCTGCCTGGTACGGACCACCGGCCCCGCCCCATCTCTGGAAAGTCCCGGGCGACTGCCGTCAACTCCCGATCCCCAGATGCAAGGATCCAGAGCTCCCCCAAGAGAAGGGTCGCTTCTGGTTCATGAGACAGGGCCAGAGAAATATTTTTAAGCCCAGCTGGCAAAAGTCCTCTGCTTCTGAGTTAGCAGGGAGAGTCTTGGGGGCTTCTCTGAGTGTAAAACGGGGCCCAGGGATTCCGGCCGAGGGTAGGGAAGAGGTGGGCAAGCCCTATACGGGGCTCTACCGGAGAGCACTGAGCCCCGAGGGACGGGTCATTTGCTTAAGACCCTGCAGCTGGTTAGTGAAGGTCCGAGCATGGTGTCCTAGCATTGACTCTGGGATGCACGTTTCCACCCCTCAGGCACGCCGCCTCTCGGGCTGAACAAGCATGTTAGATAGAAGTATAATTTAGTATTTGAAAAATGAAAAAAAAAATCCTCATTGCTTTTCTCGCCGAGACTGTTAATGCCGAGGGGAGCTCCCCTGCTGGCGTGGCGTGGGTGGGAGCCTCAGCCAGGCGCGGGTGGGAAAAGCGACGTGGCCTGCAGAAGATTGGGAAACTCGGGGTAAACATCCGTGTGGCCATTTACATCCACGGGGGTGTTTACCCTGAGTGACCCATGGCGCCGGCCCCGTTTGCTCACAGCCACGTGCTGTGGGGAGCTTTGGCCTCTGGGTCCTCCTTTCTTCTTGAGTTTTGGTGCTTAACCTTTCTGGGTGGTTCATGCAACAGGCACTTGTATGTTTTTTTTGTTTTTTTTTTTTTAATTTATTTTAACTTTGTTTAGCTGGGACTATAGGCACATGCCATGATGCCTGGTTAATTTTTAAATTTTTTGTAGAGATGGGGTCTTGCTATATCGTCCCAGCTGGTCTCAAAACGTCTGGCCTCAAGCAATCTTCCTGCCTCAGCCTCCCAAAGTACTGGGACTGTAGGCATGAGCCACGCACCCAGCCAGCAGGCACTTGTTGGCGCAGGAGCTCTGTGGACAAGGCTAGACCCTTGCCCTTGTGGAGCTTGCGTTCTAGCGGGAAAATGGACCCTAACTGAGTAGATGCCGTCCCTGCCGCCTGCTGCACCGTGGCTTCTGCCACAACGTGGGCACTCAGTGGCTGCGAGACCTGTGCTTTCCTGGGCGTCCACCAACCGCCCTGAACAAAGGGCCTTGCACGTTTTCCGTGTCTTGCAGCTGGGCTCAGTGGCCTGTTCACCTGTGGACTGCCCCGTCACCTGCACCTACCCTTTCCACCCTGACGGGGAGTGCTGCCCTGTGTGCCGAGGTGAGTGGACCAGCCACCCCCGCCCAGCGCTCCTGGGTCGGCCTCGGCCCTCACGGCCCCGCCTCTGCCTCCGCAGACTGCAACTACGAGGGGCGGAAGGTGGTGAACGGCCAGGTGTTCACCTTGGACGAGGAGCCCTGTACCCGGTGCACCTGCCAGGTGAGCTGAGCCTGGGAGCCCCGGAGCTGCCCGGCCAGGGGGCTGCTGCTTGCCTTTTGTCCATTTGCAAAACACGCAGCCCCGTAGCCCATGTGAGTCCACCCTCCTCCTGCCATTCGTCAGCTTTTTGAAAAAAATATATAATTTCATTGGTGTTTTTTTTTTCTCAGTCCTTGAAAACCCAGCTCCTTACACTGGGGGGCAGCACCCACAGGTCTAGATCAGGGTGGGGGTGTTAGGTCCCTGGGGGCCTCCTGAGGTCTGTCCGGACCACCCTATGTGAATGGCACCACTCACGCAGAAACGTAGCTTCACATGCAGCTGGGGAAGCAGGTAGGCGTCAAAGACACTCGCTTCGGAAGTGTCCCCGACAGCTGCGTCCTCCCTCTGTTTTGAATGACGAACGTCACAACATCCTTGTCCTTGTCAGGCGCAGTTGTGCAGTGAACAGGCTGCGCTGGCCATGGCCCTTGTGGACATGACCATTGTTCCTTCTTTTCTTTGTCATCTTGGAAGCGAGGACTCGAAAGAGCCACTCTTCACTTTAATTAACTGCGAGGACACCCTTGGTTCTGGCCGTCTCCGGCCTGTCGGTGGGCGTCCTGGTGGAGCAGTGGCTTCCTTACGGCAGCCCCGCTGCGGTGGCTTCCCCTGGTCTCCGGGCGCGGGCCAGGCTCTGCAGCCTCTGTCCCGGTCTTCCCGTGGTCCCGCTGCTGGTGCAAGAGCCCCTTGCGGACACTGCCCTGGGCGGGCAGGAGGCTCCGGGCTTCCTCATGGGTGTCTTCTGCTTCCCCAGCTGGGAGAGGTGAGCTGTGAGAAGGTCCCCTGCCAGCGGGCCTGCGCCGACCCCTCCCTGCTCCCCGCAGACTGCTGCTCCACCTGCCCAGGTAAGCGGGCCTCGGGGTCCTGGACTTCCACTGCCATCCTCTTCTCCTTCACTCTTCTTCCCAGAAACGTGGAACTTATCAAGGGCCGGATGTGAGAAACCCAGGCTCAGAGAGGGAAGCGGCTTGCTCGAGGGTGTACAGCCGTGGCAGGGCTTGCCGACACTCGACCAGTGCTCAGAATGCCATGCCAGGATGTGCCGCCTGACATACTTGTTTGTTTACTGTACCTTTTCCTTCCCCAGTACCTCCTTCCTTAATCTGTTCCTCTGCTTTCTTCTTTACTTTACAACTTAGGAACTGCATCTGTCTTGCAGAAGGGTAGTTGCTAACGTGCTCTGAGCACTCATTATGTGTCTACATCCCATCTTCCCAGCCGCCCTTGAGACAGGCATTCTTGTTGTTGCCCTTTGCCAGGTGAGGAAACTGAGGCACAGAGAGGTGAAGGGATGTGCTCAAGGTCATTCCTGAAAATGACTGACTCATCTGTCTGCCTTGCTCCATTGTTTGTGTACATCCATGCGGATCTTTTTGCAGAGTTACAAATAGGATGCGACGACCTGCCACGCACCTAGTTCCAAAGCCCTGTCCTGCTGCGGCTCACAGCCGCCGTTTCGAAAGCTCCCAGATACCCTCCCAGGCTGGTTTGCCTCCCTCCTGCCCGTTCAGATGGCATTTAGGTGGCTTCTTTCTTTCTCTCTTTTCTATCTATAATAGAACTACTGGGAAAAGTCTTTGGGCAGACAATATTTTTTTCAGATCTTGTGAGTAGCGTTCAGACCCTGTGGTTACTAGGTGGAGTCCCTGGGCCCTGGGGCATCAGAGCAGTTTCTGTAACTCCCAGGACAAGTCGCCAGAAAGGCCCTAAAGGAAGAAGGAACCTGCTGACTCCCTATTCCCACCAATTCTACAACTCTGTGTTTAGAATTTTAATTTTTTAAATTAACTATATCCATAAAGTACCCTAAGTGTGGCTTATTTTATGTTTTTTTTTAAAAAACTTTTTTTATTATAAATTGACAATTTATAATTGTTTAAATTTTATGAGCACAAAGTGATGCTACAATTTATGAACATGATATGGAATAATGAAATCAAGCTAGTTAACACAGTATCCGTCGCCTTGGATACTTAACATTTTTGTGGTGAGAACATTGGAAATGTACTTTCTTAGCAATTTTAAACGTACAATGTTCTGTTATTAACTTGGTTCACCACCCTGTGCAATAGAAGTAAAAACAATATTCCTCCTGTCTGAGAATTTTTTTTCCCTTTTGGCCATCGTCTCCCCAGTTTCCCCAACCCCAGCCTCCGAAACCACCATCTACTCGCTGCTTCTATGGGTTCCACTTTTTTAGGTTCCACATATAAGTAAGATCGTGCGGTGTGTGTCTGCCTGGTTTATTTCAGTTAGCGTAGTGTTCTCTGATTCCATCCATGTTGTCACGAATGGCAACGTGAGCCAGCAGCCAGTCTCTAGAACGCCGGGGGAATGAGATCTGTCAGCTCGCAGAGGCACTTGTGGTGGTTAAAACAAAATAAATCTATAAAATGCTAAACAGTTCCCAACACAATGCATTTGCACGTGGTACATTTAAAGGCTGAATAGTATTCCATTGTGGGGAATGGAATGTAGCACATTCTCTTTGCCCATTCATGTGCTGATGGACACTCAGGTGGATTCTATAACTTGGCCACCGTGAATAGAGCTGCAGTGCACATGGGCCTGAAGACATCTCTTCAACAAACTGACTTCACATCTTTTGGGTAAATACCCAGAGCGGGATTGCTGGGTCTATTTTATGTTTTTAAACTTCTAGGAAGACAGGGAATTTTTTTCATCACTGATCTGTAGCCTGGATTTCCTCTTGTATAAAATATAAAATATCTGTTTAACTCCTTTGCCTTTTTTTTTTTTTTTTTCGAAGAGGCAGGGTCTTGCTCTGTCACCCAGGCTGGAGTGTAATGGGGTCATCATAGCTCATTACAGCCTGGAACTCCTGGATTCAGGCGAGCCTCCCACCTCAGCCTCCTGAGTAGCTGAGACTACAGGCGTACACCACCACGGCTCATTTTTGTATTTTTCATAGAGATGGGGTCTTGCTATATTGCCCAAGCTGGTCTTGAACTCCTGGCCTCAAGCAATCCTCCTGTCTTGACCTCCCAGAGTGCTGGGATTACAGGCATGAGCCACTGCGCCTGGCCTCCTTTACCTTTTTTTTTTTTGAGACAGAGGCTCACTCTGTTGCCCAGGCTAGAGTGAGTGCCGTGGTGTCAGCCTAGCTCACAGCAACCTCAAACTCCTGGGCTCAAGCGATCCTCCTGCCTCAGCCTCCCGAGTAGCTGGGACTACAGGCATGTGCCACCATGCCTGGCTAATTTTTTCTATATATATTAGTTGGCCAATTAATTTCTTTCTATTTTTAGTAGAGACGGGGTCTTGCTCTTGCTCAGGCTGGTTTTGAACTCCTGACATGGAGCAATCCGCCTGCCTTGCCCTCCCAGAGTGCTAGGATTACAGGCGTGAGCCACTGTGCCCGGCCTCTCCTTTACTCTTTTGAAGAGTATGTCCTGTTTTTAGGGCGGCTCTTCAGATGTGTGTGTTGATCTACTTGCTGTTAGGACAGTGGGACTGGGAACATCCACCGAGTGTATAAATTCATTATGTTGGAAACTGTTTAGTGTACTTTATAGATTTCACTTTGTTTTAACCACTGCAAATGCCTCTGCAAGCTGATAGATATTCCCCCAGCGTTCTAGAGACTAATTGCTGGCTAACGCGCCAGGCGGTGTGTTGAGCCCTCTGCCCGTATTACCTCACTTAAATGCTCCTGAGAACGGCTGGGCGTGGCTGCCTCGTTATCTCCATTTTGCAGATGGGGAAACCGAGGCTCAGAGAAGGTAAGCTCTAGATGGTGGTGTTGGATCCAAGCCTCGGTCTCTCTCATTGCTTACCCTGTGCTCTTTCCCACTCCTTGCCTGTCTCCCAGTGGGGAAACTGAGGCCCAGAGAGGTGACCCTGCTGCGCCCGGCTCCTTCTGGAACACACTGCCCTGGCTACGTTTGCCACACGCTCTTCCTAACAAGAGCTCTCTTTAGGAAAAACAACTTTTTATTGAAATAGAATATGAATTATTATCTTTTGATGATTTTTAAAAGCTGTAACAGTTTTCTTGATATGAGTCATACACTCTACAATTCACACGTTTAAAGTGTGTGATTCAGTGGTTTTGAGTATGTTCATAGAGTTGTGCAACCGTCCTCTTAATGATTTTTTTTTCTCTTAATGATTTTTTTTTTTTTTTTTTGAGACAGAGTCTCGCTTGTTGTCCAGGCTAGAGTGAGTGCCGTGGCATCAGCCTAGCTCACAGCAACCTCAAACTCCTGGGCTCAAGCAATCCTGCTGCCTCAGCCTCCCGAGTAGCTGGGACTACAGGCATGCGCCACCATGCCCGGCTAATTTTTTTTATATATATATTAGTTGGCCAATTAATTTCTTTCTATTTATAGTAGAGACGGGGTCTCGATCTTGCTCAGGCTGGTTTCGAACTCCTGACCTCGAGCAATCCGCCCGCCTCAGCCTCCCAGAGTGCTAGGATTACAGGCGTGAGCCACCACGCCCGGCTTCTTAATGATTTTTTAAATGTGATCATCCTAGTTTTTTTTTATATGCTTGACAACATCCGTCTCCTTTATCTGCCGTTGAAACTCTTCCTCCTTTTGCTGCTTCACTCCTCATTTTCCTCTTGCTGAGCTTCCTCCTTCCCTTACAGAGGTTCCTGACTTACTAATGGTTCGACTTGATGATTTTTCAACCTTCCGATGATGTGAACCTGTCCGTACTTTGAATTGTGATCTTTTCCCCTGGGCTAGGGATACGTGGTACACGAGATATTCAACACTTTGTTATAACATAGGCTTTGTGTTAGATGATTTTGGCCAACTGCAGGCGAGCATGAGGGTTCTGAGTGCGTTTAAGGTGGGCTAGTCTGCGCTCTGATGTGTTTTTAGGTGTAGTAAGCGCATTTTTTACTTAGGATGGGTTTGTTGGGATGTAGCCCTGTCGTCAGTCGACGGGAATCTGTATTTGTTTTTCCCCTGTGTATCGAGCCCTCACCAGGCTCTATGCTGAGACTGTAAACAAATTTTCTTTAAGTAGACTTTATTTATATATTTATTTATTTAGAGACAGAGTCTCACTCTGTTGCCCTGGCTAGAGTGCCGTGGCATCAGCCTAGCTCACAGCAACCTCTAAGTCCTGGGCTCGAGCGATCCTGCTGCCTCAGCCTCCCAAGTAGCTGGGACTACAGGCATGCACCACCATGCCCAGCTAATTTTTTCCATATATTTTTAGTTGGCCAATAAATTTCTTTGTATTTTTAGTAGAGACGGGGGAATCTCCCTCTTGCTCAGGCTGGTTTTGAACTCCTGACCTTGAGCGATCCTCCCGCCTCGGCCTCCCAGAGTGCTAGGATTACAGGTGTGAGCTACCGCACCCTGCCTTAAATAGACTTTATTTTTTAGAATGGTTTTGGGTTCATAACAAAATTGAATGGAAAATACAGAGAGTTCCCATCTACCCCGACTCCACTTCTACCACATACCCACAGCCCCCATTATCAACACCCACACCAGGATGGCATATTTGTTATAATTTCAAGCCTACAGTGACATGTCATTAACGCCCAGAGTCTGTAGTTTACGTTGGGGTTTAGGCTGAGACTCTCCATGTACCCTGTCATTCAGAATCACGCTTCTCCCCCCCCCCAAACTCTGAGAATCAGTCCTTATTCTTATGCCCATTTTATTTATTTATTTATTTGAGACAGTGTCTCACTCTGTTGCCCCGGCTAGAGTGCCGTGGCATCAGCCTAGCTCACAGCAACCTCAAAGTCCTGGGCTTAAGCAATCCTCCTGCCTCAGCCTCCAGAGTAGCTGGGACTACAGGCATGCGCCACCATGCCCGGCTAATTTTTTCTATATATTTTCGGTTGGCCAATTAATTTCCTTGTATTTTTAGTAGAGACGTGGTCTCGCTCTTCTCAGGCTGGTTTCGATCTCCTGACCTTGAAGCAATCCTCCTGAATCGGCCTCCCAGAGTGCTAGGATTACAGGCGTGAGCCACCTAGCCCGGCCTTCTTATGCCCATTTTATAGATGGGGAGACGGGGGCCCAGGGGAGTGACTTTGCCTTGTGCAAGGTCGCACGGTGAACTGCCCCCCTTTGTTCATGGTTCCTCTTCAGTCTTCTCTCCCGAGGGCAGGAGCTGGCTGGTGTTGACCAGGTGTGCTGAGGCCTCTCCAAGGACGAGGCTTGGGTGTCTGTCCCCTGCCCTGCTTGTCCCAGAGCCACCTCAGCCACCGGGAAGAACTACTGTGCATCCCGTTTCCCCTCCCCTCTCTAGATTCTCCGTCTCCTCTGGAAGGAAGGCCGGGGCTCTCCCCTCCCGGAGACATGGAACTCAGCAAAGCTGCTCGGAGCCCCCGCGGAGACGCCACAGCCCCTGTCAACTGCAGCGCCTGCCCGGGGCCCCCGCCGGCGTCACCCCCAAGGCCGGCGCTCCGTCTGCTCCAGCTCCTCCTGAGGGCGAACCTGTCTAACACACAGACTTCACCCGCGGGCGCTCAGGCTGCACCCTCGCCCGCTCTCGGGCCGCGGGCCACTTTCCCAGGGGAGCCCCGGGCCGTCCAGTCCCCTCAACTCTCTCCAGGGCCTGCGACCCCCCCAGGACCCTCCACTCTACCTCCAGCCTCTCCGGGGGCTCCTCAGCTGCCACCTGTGACTCCGGAGCGCTCCTCCTCGGCCCCTGAGCCCCGGACGGCCTCCAGGTGGCCGCCTCTGCCTGCCACCCTCCTGACTGAAGCTTCAGCACTTTCCACGACAGACCGCAGCCCCTCAGAGACCCGCGTCAGCCCCCTCAGGCCTCGCACGCTCTCTCCTGCCACCGCCAGCCTCTCCGAGGCCCTCGCGGCCACCGCCCGCCCTGGCCCCCAGCACCCGCCGGCGGGCACCCCACGGTGGGAAGAGTCCACCACGTAAGCAGGTCACCGGGCCTGGGAGACTCCGGACAGAGGAGGCTCTGCCAGTGGCCCAGGGCGCGTGCAGGGCGGCTCCGGGCGCGAACTGGCAGGTGGCGCTGGGGTGCCCTCCCTCGGGGCTCCTTGTGGCGTGGAAGCTCCCAGGCTGGATGCGGCCTTGCTCCCCAGGAGCACTGGGAATGTGCTGGAAGAATGAAGCAAATGGAGCTGTCCACTGTCAGCGTCCTCCCTGGACCACACGCCGCTCATCGTCGGAGAAAGGGCTGCCACGCTCGCCCCCGGAGGAGGAGTGCCGCACAGGCCGGGACTGCGCCGCCATCCTCACGTGTCCTCCTCTGGCATTTCCCGATTAAAGCTTGTCTCGGTTTCCCCAGGCTGCCCTGCTCATTCCCTTCTCGCCTGGGGGAAGGTGGGACACATCACCCCAAGCCCACAGGAGGTGAACGGGTGCCCACCCTAACCCGGCTGCTTGGGGGAGAAGGGGGCACCGCCCGGGGCTGGGATGGGGAGGGGTCTTGTGTAAGCGCCTGGCGGCTTTGGCGTTGGGAGACTTGTGGAGTGAGAGGGAAAAGACGATGGAGAGGGCCTGGCAGGGCGGGCTCCCTGGGAAGGAAGCTCTGAGGAAATCACAGACGACGGTTTCTTAGGGCGTGTTCTCGGCACGAACACCTGTGGGCAGGAGGCAGGCAGGAGGGAGATTCGGGCTGTGGGGTGGTCCTGAAGCCTCAGCCAGCCCCTCTGGGAGCTCTGAGGCTAAGACGGCTCTCCGAGGCATCCTGAGTTGGGGCCAGGGCTTTGTGTTCCATCTGGTCGCCCCAGGAAAGGGTGTGAGCTTGGGAGAGGTGGCTCCCCCCAGCCAAGGCCGCCCCCTCTGAGGCTGGATGCTGAGAGCGGCCAGCCAACAGCCTCGGCAGCTGGAGGGGACTGGGCAGTGCAGTGCGGTGCCATCATTCCTGGGGCGAGGTGAGATGACAGGAAGACAGAGAGCTGCCTGTCGCTGAGTCGCCACTGACCACCACTGAAGCCCTTGGAGGCTGCCGGGGCCACCCTCTTCTTGGCCCTTCCCTGACCCGCTGCTTGCCCTGCCTGCCCGGGTGGGGGCCTGCTGACGTGCTTGCTGGCTGCACAGGCAACCTGGGGGCTCCAGCCCAGACCCCAGTGTAGTCGTGCATCCTAATCTGAGTATGGTGGCAGGAATAATGAACTTGGGAGTCAGGAGCATGAAAGTCAAAGAGTTCAGACATGCGCGGTACTGAGCGGCCGTTTTGTCCAGTAAGACACAAAGGGTGGTGATGGACACAAGGTGTGGGGCCCGCTCAGCTAGTGGTGGGGCCTAGGTCTCTGCTCCCTCACTGGGACAATGGGGATAGAAAACAGCCCTGCCTTATGGAGTTGTGACGATGACATGCAGTGATGGCCCCTGAGCTTCCTGCAGGCTGCCCAGCCTCACCACGCCACCGGGATCTGATTTCAGGACAAGAGCATAGAATGTCGATGCCTCCACTTTGCATCTTCACACACAGCCCGGCTGTCAGAACGGCAGTGGCTGAAAATCAGTGCCAACTTTCTCATCACTGTTCCTCTCCTCAGTAAATACGCATGTAATTTAAGTTTTAATACTAGTCTTCTCCTCCATAGGGATTCAAGTCAATGTTGTTTATTTTGAATGTTAAATAAAAGGCAGGGGGGGGGTGGGTGGAGTGGGCAGGGAGACAGCTGTAAACATTTTCTCCAAGTTGGTCTAAGTATAAAAACCTGCTCATCTGGGCCAGCACAATGGTTCACACCTATAACCCTAGCACTTTAAGAGGCCAAGGTGGGAGGATTACTTGAGGCTAGGAGTTTGAGATGAGCCGGAGCAACATAGCGAGACCCCATGGCTACTAAAAACAGAAAAATTAGCCAGGTGTGTTGGCACGCGCCTATTGTCCCAGCTACTTGGGAGGTTGAGGCAGGGGTCCAGGAATTTGAGGTTGCAGTGAGGTACGATGATGCCACTGCACTCTAGCCTGGGCAACAGAGCGAGACTGTCTCTACAAAAACAAAACAAAACATTGCCCAGAGTGGTGGCATGGACATGCTACCCAGAAGGCTGAGGCAGGAGGATCGCTTGAGCCCAGGAGTTGGAGGTTGCAGTGAGCTACGATGATGCCACTGCACTCTAGTCCAGGCAACAGAGCAGACCCTGTCTCAAAAAGTAAATAAATACGTACATACATACATACTTATCGGGACTATCCCCACCCCCAGCGTTACAGCTGAGGCGGCAGAGGCCCAGAGAGGTTAGAGAGGTTCTAAGGTTGCACAGATTATGGCAGCTGAGCTGGGAGGAAAGCCTCATTCTCCTGACTTCCGGTCCTGGCTTTTTTAATTCACATCTCACTTGCCTAGGTCCTGCTGCTGGGGTTCAGAGAGACGCCACAGTTTAGGGTGGGGTTCTATGACCAGCTTATCTGAGTTTGGGTCCCCCCAGAGCAGACCCGGAGGTGAGTATTTAGATGACAGTCAAGGGATGGAGACCAGTCGAGATGCATTTATGAGCTGGTCACTGCTGGGCCAATCGGCGCCTCCGCCCTTCTAGGGACGTTCGTGCCCTAGGCTTGTCCACTAAGGGGGTGGAGCTGCAGGGTGGTTGTCCCCTCACTCTTGTCCCTCCCTGGGTGAGCCTGGCTTCTGGGATCTCCAGCACATCCAGCTGGCCTCGCCCGAGGGCCGCACTTGCTTCCTCTCAGACACTCCCAGGCGCGAGGAGGCTCTTAGGGGAGAGGAGCAGGCGCCATCTGCAGAGGCCTCGGGCTGGGCCAGGGCTCGCACTGGGGCAGGTAAGGACATGTGCTGCCACGGCAAGCCCCAGCGTGTATGGCCCTTGCCCAGGGCCGGCTGGCACCAGGAGGCCGGAGGCCACCCAGAGACTCCAGCTGGGCGAGCAGTGCTTTTAGCGGGATGAGCTGGTCTGAATTCTCAGCAGCCTGGGCTCCAACAAGCAAGGCGGGGTGTGTGCTCAGATGGAGACACCTGCACTTGCCCTAGCTGGGGCTCCACTTAGCCAGGGTCCTGAGAAGCAGTGTGGGCGTGGTATGTCAGAGGCCTGTTCCGCAGAGGCCATCCCCTGGGCCTGGGAGCTTTCCAGGGTGCCAAGTGATCAGCCCTGTTTCAAGAGACCTGATTTTGGAGGTTATTAGATGATTGATCCTGAAGACAGATCACAGTAGGTTTCTAGTTAGGAAACACTTTCAGAAGTTTCAAATACCTTTTTTTTTTCCTTACTTTTAAAGAGATTTATTCTGAGCCAAATTTGAAGACCATGACTGTAGCCATGTCCAAGAAGCCTTGAGCAAGTTGACTCCCAAAATAGCTTTAAAAACTTTTTTTGAGACAGGGTCTCACTCTGTTGCCTCAGCTAGAGTGCAGTGGCATCATCATAGCTCTCAGCAGCCTCAAACTCCTGGGCTTAAGGAATCCTCCTGCCTCAGCCTCCCGAGTAGTGGGACTACAGGCTTGCACCACCACGCCTGGATAATTTTTCTATTTTTTGTGGAGATAGGGTCTTGCCCTTGCTTAGGTTGATCTCGAATTCCTGGCCTCAAGCAACCCTCCTGCCTTGGCCTCCCAAAGTGCTAGGATTACAGGTGTGGGCCATAGCACCTGGCTCAAAATAGCTTTAATTAACTTATTTTGAATGTGTGGTACATCTGCATCATTGAAAATGAAAATATATAATTGTATTCAGTGAGATGTTCCCCTGTTCTCTCCGTGGTTTCTGGATCATGGACATCCTTCCTGGATTCCTTTATGATATGTAAGCAGATACTCTTCTTTTCTTTTTTTATCATCCAAAGATAGCGTAGTACAGGCCCTTTTGTGCACCAGTTTGTTTCTTCCTAAACTTAATCTCTTTTTAAGACCTTGGCATCTTCCTACCTAGGAGCATACCCATTTGTTCCTTTTTATGGCCGTGGAGGGTCATTGCACGGACGCACCCTAAGTTGTTTAACCCTCCCCTGTGGATGGACATGTGGGTCATTTTGAATCTTGCTTTTCCACATGACATTACAAAGAATGATGTTTTTACATCATTTTACACGTGTGCAAGTGTATCTTTAAGATACATTCCCAGAGGCCAAGCTACTGGGCCCAAAGGTTGATGCATTTTTAATCTTGATAACTACAGCCACACGGTGCTCCTTGGGAGTGGAACCAGTTCTCACCACAACAGCAGCGGCACGAGTGACCGTGGGCGGAGGGCTGGGATGAGTGGGGCCTGCGAGATTAAAATTACGCTCCTGGATGAGTGTGGGTGAAAAGGACGATTGAGCTGCGCCGAGACTGCCGGGGCCCTCGGAGAAAGGTGCAGGCAGGAGGCGGGAGACCATGGGAAAGGAACGTGCTCCGTCTCACCTGGTGGAGCACGGTGGGAAGTGTCAGGTCGGCAGTGTGGGCATGGGGCTTGCTAGTCCAAACTACCTGTCTGATGGGGGCTCTTTAGGTTCTGTCGGGAGCCAGGAATCCTGGGGCGGGCATGGACGAGGGGTTGGGGACGCGGTGAGGCTGGGCTGCAGCTGCTGGAGCTGAGAAGGGGGAGGAAGGAAGGATGGGGCCAGGAGAGGGAGGCCGGGAAGGATCCAGGAAGGCCTGCTGCAGGAAGACCAGAGCCCAGCCCTCTGCCTGGACAACGTAGGTGCATGGGGACTGTCAGGAATCAAATGCAGTAAAGGAGCCAGGACACAGTGAGGTCCCTTCCCAGAAACCTGAGAAGTCCTCCTGCTTGTCCCGTGACCCACTATGACTGGCATAGAATAGTGGGGGTGGGAGCTGACCCATCTGTCGTCCTTAGTCAAGTCCTGTACATCACCCATCCTGTCTTAGTCGTTTCCTTTTCTTTGAGACAGAGTCTTACTCTGTTGCCCTGGCTAGAGTGCTGTGGCGTCAGCCTAGCTCACAGCAACCTCAAACTCTTGGGCTCAAGCGATCCTCCTGCCTCAGCCTCCCGAGTAGCTGGGACTACAGGCATGCGCCACCATGCCCGGCTAATATATATATATATACATATATACATATTTTAGTTGGCCAATTAATTTCTTTCTATTTTTAGTAGAGACGGGGGTCTCGCTCTTGCTCAGGCTGGTTTCAAACTCCTGACCTTGAAGCGATCCTCCTACCTCAGCCTCCCAGAGTGGCAGGATTACAGGTGTGAGCCACCATGTCCGGCCCCAGTTTCCTTTTAAAAAGTCATCTCTAATTAATCCCTCATTCCACAAATATTTATTGAGCATCTACTATGTGCCAGGCCCTGCTCTTGTTGTTGGGGCTTCAACAGTAAACCAAAGGACCACAGTCTCTGCCCTCGGGTCAAAGAAAC